ACCATCCTCAGCTAGCTAACAACCTGTAAGCAAACCTGGGCTACATGAAACCCTGTCTCAAAAAATAACACAAAAAAGGCACACGGTTGTTAGGTTTCAACCTTTCCTTCCCCCTCTCTGTTAACCTCTCTTCCTCTTCCCTAGGGGTCCTATGACCTGCCCTCACACTCCTCTCAATTTCTTTCTTTTTGGTTTTTAAAAACAGGGTTTTACATTGCTCACATTAGCCTTGAACTCAGTATACAGCTGAGGATGACCTTGAACTTTTGGTCCTCTTATCTCCACCTATGTTAGGAATGCAGGCATATACCACCATTGCTCACCAAGTTTCAACTTTTTAAGGATTTACTGAGAGGCTAGCACAAGTGGGTCTTCACATGCTGAGAAGCACATTTCAATGACATAGTCTCTGAAATGGTGTGACAAGGACAAAATCACACCAGTGAATTATGCAATCAGAACACCCACTTCTCCATTAACAATGTGGCTTTGCTGCAGTTGACATGAAGTGACTCCCAGAAAGGTCTATGGTTTTCAATTACATTTTGCAGTATTGAGAAAAAAAAAAAAAAAAAAAAAAAAAAAAGCCAGGCGGTGGTGGCGCACACCTTAATCCCAGCACTAGGGCGGCAGAGGCAGGTGGATCTCTGGAAGTTCCAGGCCAGCCAGGGCTAAATAGTAAGACCCTGTCTGAAAAAGAAAAAACAGGCTGGGTGGGTGGCGAATGCCTTTAATTCCATCACTCAGGAGGCAGAGACAGACAATCTCTGAGTTCAAGCCTGGTCTACAGAGCAAGTTCCAGGCCAGCCAGAGCCACCTGTAGAAACCCTGTCTCTTTGGGAGGCGGGGAGAAACAACTTACATTGCATCACAGTCCCCTCGAATTGGGGATTCTCAAAGCCCTGGCATATGCTTATTCCAGATGACAAGAGCTTTCCGGACAGGGAACATCCCTAGTCTAAGCCCTAGGTTAGGGAACAGTGCTGATGTGGATACTGCCAGTCACTTGCAGCGGAGCAAATCTGATGATCTAAGATCGGGTATTGAAAGAGTAAATGAGGGCTGGAGAGGCACATGGGGGCACAGACACACACACAGGCAAAACACCCATATGCACAAAAAACAAATAAGTGAAATGTATTAAGAGAAGAGTGAATATGAATTAAAACAACAGCACCAACACACACATGAAGAAAGCTGGGCCTGGTGGCACAGGCCTAGAATCCTAGCTATTCAGAGGCTGAACAGGAGGATCAAGCCTGCCTGGGCAAGTTGGCAAGACTGTGTCTCAAAACAGAAAATCAATAGCAGATCATTTCTCTAGCACAGGCAATGCCCTAAGTTCAATCACCAATAAACACACATACAGTCACACACACACACACACACACACACACACACACACACACACACACTCATACTCTCTTACACATACACATGTGCATGCACACCCAAGTCAGGGAGGGTGATCAAGGTAATCCTTCTGTTCCCCCTAGGGATAGCCTACAGAATGACGTGTGGAACAACGCCACAGACAGACGGCCAGCTCACCACTCCCAAAGACACTGAAATGGCTGCATGGTCTTAGCGTGCTTAGAGTTTGTTATGTGTCTTTCAGGGATGGCACGTAGAGGCACTCAGAATGGTCCAGCGTTTGACACACAATTTTAAACCTTTCTGCAATACAACTTCTAATAAAACTAGTTTCCAACCCCTGGTAACAGGATTGTTTACCTTTCTACCAAGAAGGTTGGGAAAGCACCAAAATCCGCACGTGGCATGTGCCTAGTTAGACGTCCAGGGGTCTGTGCTGCAAGCCCTGAAGTCCCTATGAGATGTCTAAACAAAGAGGCAGTCATGGGTCTGCGGTGGCCCGTGTACTAGGTGTGTCTGTGACAGGACAGTGCTTCCCTATGGAGGAGCAGAAATCACTGAAAAGTGAAAACACTGAAGGCACTACCACAGTCAGAAAGATAAACAGATATGAAGCTTTCACATAATGAAACTCAAGACACAGTCTTAAAAAAGACTTTGCTATGCTCGTGGGGTGTTGCACATTTGGGCAGTGAGATGCTTTAAATATTCATATTCTTCACATAAAGGAAAATGCATTCAGTATGCACAGTTTTGAAATGCATTTTCTAGTTAGGTATGTTTTCTTGACACAGGGTCTCACTCTAGCCCTGGCTGACCTGCAGAAAGAACTTAACGTAATCCATGTCTTCACTATTTCTCTTACAGTTAATTAAAAATGCTTACCAAGTACTCTGCATTGAAACTACAGAAAATACAAAGACGAGTAGACACATTTCCTCCTACGGGGACAAAATTCTAATAAGAGAAAGAAGTGTCTACAAACAGTACACATAGAAGGCAAACTATGAAAAGGGGGGGGGGGTGGGGGGGTAACCTCATGTAGTGTGATCAGCAAACGCTGTGTGAGAGAGGCAGCATCGGAGAGAACTCTGGGAAAAGATCCAAGCATTTCAGAGCTGTAAATGAGGCCAAGACAGGCAGATTCAGGGCACAATGAACATGCCAGTTTGGATAAAGCACAAATTGAGCAATGTATTCAGAAAAGTATCAAGAAAGGCTATTTTTGCTAGCCCACGGAATTTTTATTTAATTTAGCACAATTAAAAACTCTTAAGTTTTGAATGGAAAGTACGATTAGGCCATGCTTTGGAAAACACAATCTGTACTTGTGGTTTGCACAAACAGCGGTAAGGCAAGAGAGCTGGGACAGACCAATCAGGAAACAGAACAACATAAAAGGGAGAGTGCATGTAGAAACATTTACATTTTACATGCTAAATTAGGTTGTCCCCTAGATACTGAAAGAAGAAATTTCAGTATCTAAACATGTACTAGCTCTTATTCTGGCTGTCAAGGACACACAACTAGAGATAGAAAAGGCAAATACAGCAAAAATAAATAAAAACTTCAATAAAGCCATTTTTAAAAGTAAGGGTTAAGGTGATTCAGAAGAGCAGTCCTGGGCTGAAATGAGAAAGAAATATTTGCACTGGGTCATGATCATATGGCTCAGGTAAGTTGTGTTCTGTAATAGTTTCCTCCAAGATTAAAATATTCCATCTTGCAGACAAGCTCCTTAGGCAGGAAGTAAACAACTCAAAATACCTTCAGGAAGTCCCTGAAATTGACCAGATTCACTAGGCCCCTCCCTGCAAGAGCAGACAAGCCAAGCTGCTGAGAGTCACTCTCAGAAGAGCCAAGGAGAAAGGAGACCTCTCAGAGGATCCAAACTGCAAAGAAGGCAGAGACCAGACAAGCTGCCTAGAAGAAGCAGAAACCAGCTGAGCAGCCTGAAAGAGGTTTAGACCAACTGAGTCACTGAGAAGAGAGACACTGTCTAAGTTGCTGAGCTGCCTGTAGGCTGTACAGTGTGTTCCAGGTTCCCAGCCTCATAAGCTGTCTCCCATGTTGGGGTGAGCTTAGATGATGCAGCTGTCTTTGAGTCATTTATGATCCTGAGTAACTCCACCCATCTTTAGCATTTAAGTACGCCCTGGCTGGCCCTTTGGGGACAGGCAGCACTTTGGCCTACTCAGGGTCCTGACAGTGTCATCCTTCATAACCTGTTTGTGCATTCGCTAAGTCCCCTTTAAGAGCAAACCACCCCCCTCTTCCTCTCTCATCCCACAAGACTGCGTCTGCACCCCCTTCTCTTCTTCTCTTCCCCCTTTCTGTCTCTTCTCTTCCTCTCTCATTCCTCTTCTCTCCTCAGCCTTTATCTCCAGAGGTGCACTCTGCATCCCTTCTTCCCTTCCCCCAAAAAAATTCTCTACATGAGCACTGTCCGCATGGTGTCTCACTCACCTGCCCTGGGGCCCCTTGGCTTCAATCCACAAAGACCACTGCCCACCGTTTTTAAATTATAACACCTATATTCTTGTAAGTAACCCCAATAAAGCTGATTGGTTCACTGTTGAACTTTGGTGGTATCCTGTGATGGCTAACATTATATTGATGGCTATCTTTATGTTTAAAAGTTTAAAATCCCTGTGCTTAGGGAATAAACCAAAATTAGACCGCCAAAAGTTAGGACTGTTAAGGGTTAATTTTTACTGCTGTTTTTTCTTCTGTAAACAAAAGCATATTTGCATGAGAGGACCTTCCACTTGCACCTACACAGAATGTAACTTCATGTTCTTTGCCTTTGTAAACTTCTGACTGAGGTGGCTGGGCACTACATTCAGGAATCCTGAGTCCTGGATAGACCTGGCATCAGGACATGAATAAAACCTCTTCTTTGTTAAAACTTATTCATGGTCTGACTGGTGAGTCTCTGAAGGACCCCAGACCCACAACAATCCATACTTTGGTCTATTGTGGCTCCCTGTCTGGGATGAAGAGATGCTGCTGTGTGTTGTATCTTCCAAGGAAAAGCTTTGTCACATAGCACATGGACTCATGAATCGCATGGACTCATGGATCACATAGGTTTATGAATAGCGAGGGCTCATGTATCCAATGGGCTCATGAACTGTTTTGACTTCACACTTGGCTAATTCCCACAAGTGTAGTGTGGTATATTGTTGTAGAAAAAGAGCATTCAGGAAAAGTATAAAGTCTTCAAAGTAAATGGTGCTAATAACTAACAGTTTCTGAGAATCAATTAGACGCCAGGCACTCTTCTAAATATCTTGTGCATTCTATTTCATTCAATCCTCACAAAAGAACCATGTCAAACATATACTCATTAGCGTCAGTTTACAGAGGAAAGACTCAGGTTCCCAAAGCACTGCCTTGCCCATAGATGTATTTCCTATTGCCCTTCATAATAAATTCCAGAAAGTCCTGTCTTACCAAAACAGCTAACATTACCTTTAAACTCAATGCTTCCAACACACTGCAAATATAACGGCAATGTCAAAATAATTATAAGTTAAATACTTATTTTTCTCTGAGAAAAATAAGCCTGCAGGAAGTTCATCATTTTCTAATTTACATGCTAACTTTAGCTTGTATCTACTTACCGACATGGCTGCATAATCATTGGTGTTTGCCTTAGTCTGAGAAGGAAGCAAGGCAATCAAATGAAAGAGGGAAATGTATTCTAATTACAACAGAAGCAATAGCCAACACAGAAAAACTAAACACACAATACAAGTAGAGTCTGCGCATTCTATAATGGAAAGGCATTAGTTACCACATGCATGTGATGATCATTTCATTTTGAAGATTTGTAGGTGAGTTCTTACATACACATTAAGCTTTTCTCCAAACATTTGTACATATAACGAAGTTGACCTGTCAGCATTAACATAATGAGCTTTAGCAGTTACTAAATGTGTGCTGAATTGGCAAATTCAACAAAAACCAATTCTTTAGACAGGATTCTTTGCTCTACAGCAGTGGTTCTCAAGCTTCAAACAATAATAATATTAAAAATTAAGCAATAAGTTAAAAATGCTGATTTTAAGCTACAGAAATTTAAATTAGGTTTACAGCATGCACTGAATCTGAATATTTAGAAGTGGCTCTTTCCATAGATGATTCTAATTCAGAAAGAAAGAAAATGTCTATTTCTTCATAAATAACAGAACACTATGGAGAATACAAGTTTCTAAGGATGCTCTGAAAGGATAAGTCACTATGTTCCAACATAATTCACGTAGATTAAACTAAATTCCTTAAGGAATGAAGGCTTGCATCTCACAGCTAATCAAATATATTTTGTTCCCTAAGAAGTGAATAGTAAGCCAAAGTAAAAACCAAATTATTGGTCATAATTCAACTGCATATAAGCCTCAGCAGGCTTCTTCTTTTAAAATATCAATGATTAACAACATATCAATTCTTAAATAAAAGGAATGGATTAAAATACCATTTTTTTTTTAAATTACTTTATTTTTCTTACTTTTTTTCTTTTGGAGATGAAATCTATGTGGCATAGTAATCAGATAAATTTTCTCCAGTTTACAATACTCCTGAGTGCTAGGACCACAGGCATGTAACATCCATTACATTTCAAAAATAAATGGGTAATATTTAGGTATCATTAAAAACTTTCCAGAGAAAGGTACTGACTCAGAAATGTGGTTCAAGCTTATGTTAGCACAATAGAACTCAAGACTCTGCTTATTAGCAGAAGTTGAGCTTCTAGTAGAGATGAGACTGGTCATTTCCATCAAATACACAAGTGTAAACTCAGGCAAACTCACCCACTGAAGCTAAGCAGCCTAACGAAGCTTGTGCTTAGTGAGCTGACAGTTGTGCTGGCTACGAAACTCATTCTTCAAACAGACTGAGCTCACCTCTAGAGAACCACTAACTCCTTCCTAGATTTAACTTCAACAAATTTTGTTTTGATTAGTATAATTATGCTATCATATTTACTTACTTAACTATTTTCCATAATCTTTCAAAGTATGTAGAGCTATAATGGAAAATATATAAAAGACACAGAATTGAGGCAAAATTCAGCTGAAATTTAGCAACTTTGTTAAGAAAGTCAACAGCAAGGCAACCCTGTAAATCATAGGAATATGTTACTTTCACCACAGTTCGTATTATACTACTTTTATATGATTGTTTTTTGGGGGGTGTTGTTTTTTGAGACAGGGTTTCTCTGTGTACCTCTGTCCTGGATCTCGCTCTGTAGACCAGGCTGGCCTCAAACTCACAGAGATCCGCCTGCTTCTTCCTCCCAAGTGCTGGGATTAAAGGCGTGTGCCACCACTGCCCGGCTATGAATTATATTCAGTGAATCACACAAATATTATTCATGAGCCATCCACATTTAAAAAATAAACATTAATAAGAAAATCCTTGCATTTTAAACATAATTCTTTCTCGTCACATAAAACAAAAGATATTAAAAGCCAATGACTCTACACTTGATTTTAAAGGTCCCTCTAAGTTTTTAGTCAAGAGAACAGATAAAACTCAGAAAAACTGAACCAACAAAAGCAAAAGAAAGTCTGCTTCCCAGCACCCACATGGCAACTCACCACTACCTACAACTCCAGTTCCAGGGACTCCTACACTCTTTGCTAGTCTCTGCCTGCACTGCACACACGTGATGCACTTACCATACATGTAGGCAAAACACTCAAACATAAAAAAATCAAGATGGTAGACAGAATGTTTGTTTTGCACCCTAATACACGAGCAAAATATAAAGTACCAAGTTGCCTTTTAAAGGATAAATTACTTAAAAGCAGAAAAAACGAAGACAGGGAAAAAATCAAGGAATGCTTTCTGGAAGACAGGAGGCAATGAGGCAGAGCAGAGGAAGCCACTGTCCACTGCACACTGCAAAGAAACGCAGTGCAGCTGGAAGCCAGCAGTCCAGGCACAGAGCAGGCAAATACGTGAGCAGAGGAAATGAGAGTGGGAAAAAAAACCCCGGAGACAATCTGGGGACAGCTGAAGCTGTAGACACAGGGAGAAGAAAGGAGGGAGGAAGTAGAAAGAGGGGAAGGAAAGGGAGAGGAAGGGAGGGAAAATTGTAGGTATAAGAAAGGAGGAAGGCAGCCGGGCGGTGGTGGCGCACGCCTTTAATCCCAGCACTCGGAGGCAGAGCCAGGTGGATCTCTGTGAGTTTGAGGCCAGCCTGGGCTACCAAGCGAGTCCCAGGAAAGGCGCAAAGCTACACAGAGAAACCCTGTCTTGAAAAACGGAAAAAAAAAAAAAAAAAGAAAGGAGGAAGGCAGCCAGGCGGAGGTGGCGCACGCCTTTAATCCCAGCACTCGGAGGCAGAGCCAGGTGGATCTCTGTGAGTTTGAGGCCAGCCTGGTCTACAGAGCGAGTTCCAGGACAGGCTCCAAAACTATACAGAGAAACCCTGTCTCGAAAAAAACCAAAAAAAAAAAAAAAGTTAAGAAAGGGGGAAGGCAGGAAATAACACATAACTTGAAAATATGCAGTCTTTCATTCAAAATTTAAGAACCTGAAGCTAACAACAGGAGCCTCCCACCTGGGGAACACTGCAAATGCACAGTCCCATGCTGAAGGAAGTGGTCCCAGGAGCTGGACAGATGGCTCAGCAGTTAAGATCACTAGCTGCTCTTACAGAAAACCCACGTTTGGTTCCTAGCTCCACGGTAGCCAGCTTACAACTTCCTGTAACTCCAGCTCCAGTAAATCAGATGCCCCCTTCTGTCCTCTGTGGGCACACACACATACATACAAATGCACACACATAACACCTAAATAAGAAAACAAAATCTTTAAAAAAGAAATTAGCCCTAAAAAGATGAGACCATAACCCCATGATTAGCTTCATTCCTGCTTGTTCTAAGGAGAAGCGCACTGAGCAAATGCTAAACAAACAAAAAAGTATACATATGTATCCCAGTCAGATGTGCATGTACGTAAACACATGCACACACACACCACACACACACACACACACACACACACACACACACACACACACTCACTATTTATATATAGCAGTAAAGTAAAGCCATGCCAGCTCTGCAGGTTTTTTTTGCTAAAAATAAAACAGAAACTACAGGATTTTCAGTGTCGGGGGTGGGGGGGAAGCTTCTTCTGCAGAAGTTTGTGAATAAGAAGATTCAAGGGACACAGGAACATACTATATTCCAAAGAGACACAGAAGAGCATCAGGAATCATGAAAGGGGAGACAGGCGAGTTGAAGAGAATGGGAAACACAAAGGCTATGCAAAGAAAAGTGGGTAACGGCCTGTAGGTCCAACCCTGGCTTTCTGGATATGAGGACCCAAAGCCAAAAGCACAATGAGCCAGACAGTGAAGACTAGCAGTCCTGGTCGCAGACAAGTCCAGGTTCCCAATGGTCAGGTGAGCAGATGGGGAAATTGGGTGTGACGGTGACAGAACTGCGGGTGAAAAATCCATCGTCGCTGTGGGTGTGAAAGAAAATGGCCCCCAAAGGGAGTGGCACTATTAGGAGGTGTGGCTTTGTTGGAGGAAGTGTGCCACTGTGGGGAAGGCTTGGAGGTTTCCTATGCTCTGGATACTACTGGCCAGTGTCACAGTCACTCTCTGTAACTTGAGGAGTGCTACAACCAAGCACCACCTGAAAGGGGTATTGTTTGAGCTAGACAAGGGTGGGATGAGTACGATTTAAATAAGTGGTATATGTACAACTCTGTCATAATGAAACCCATTGTTTTATAGAATGAATATAATTTAAGGTTTTTTCCTCCCTGAACATCTCCCTTAAACAATTCTATTCAACTATTTACAACAAAAGAGTAATTGATGTCGGAAACACTGGGGTTGCTTTTTGCTGTTGCTTTTTCATTTCAAACAAAGGAAATGGCTAGTAGTATTTCTTCAGGTTCTATGTTAAATACCTTATTTGTAAATTCAGCTGTATCTTACATAATAGGACGTGCTGGTTAATTTTCTGTCAACTTGACACAAGCTAGAGTCATCTGGGATAGATAGATAAAGAATTTAAAGTATCTAATATTTTTCTTGTACCTTGTAAGCTAGAAAAAAACTTGATTATACTGACTTTCACACAAACTCCTATTAAAGATTATTTCTATTTAAATCTATACTGTTAATTTCGGGGGGCGGGTTGTTTTGCTTTTAATGGGAAGTTATAGTTATTTTAGTTAAAAAGTACAATGAATTAAAACCTCAGCCAACTTCAGCTAGATTCTTTATCAAGTGATTTATAATAGTGGAAAAAGAAATGTGCAAACAATAAAGCACCCAAAAATTAAACTCTAAAATGCATTTTAGAAAGCAAACTTACAATATCTGAAATTGTTTATACTTACAGGCAAATGAGTAAACACTTGAAAGATGCTTCTCAAAAAATTAATAAGGTCCATTAAATAACCACTCGCTCTTCCATCCGACTCAGCCATTGTCCAGTCATAATCAGCCAGCTGAACAAATTCATCAATTTTTTGATTGAGTTTGGTATATATTTCTCCTTCTGCTGCATGTCGAGCATCCTAAGGGGTAAAGTAACAGCAGTAAGAAACAATTACAGAAGTAGTGTCCCTACATTTTAAATTTTAAGTTTTTGGTTTTTATTAGAAACACAGAAAAGGTACTTTTCCAACACCACAAAGCCGATCTGACCGGTGTCACGTCTGCTTTCCTTCCCAACCCTACTGTCAGCCTTTTGGTTTTCAGAGCTTGTCTTGTTTCCTTTCCTACTGCTGTGATAAGACACCAACAAAACCAATGTAAGGGAGAACGTGTTTATCCCGGTTCATCACACACGAATGCCTACTGCTACTTCAGCAACCTTCCTTCCTTACATAATCCCAGATGCCAGCCAGACAAAGGTGCCGCTCACAGTGCCCACCTGCCTTCCTCAGTTAACACAAACCCAGCAATTCCCCATAGGCATGCCCAGGGGCCCAGCTGACAATACTAACATCATAGGACTGGTTCTTTCATAACATATGAACCCGACGGTCCTCCTATGGCCCTCAGGAAGATCAGAAGCCGGAAAGCAGAGGCTGCGAGAACGCAGGGAGCACACGGATCCACTAAGGGAAAGTAAGCTGGATATCCCAGAGAAAAGGGAACACAGTTGTCTTTACATGGGGTTGGTTTCAGAATCTTCCTCCCATTACAAATAATAAACTGAGGTCCCGTATAAAGCGGTATAGCATTTGCTTATAACTTATGCACATTCTCCTGTATATTTTTCATCTCTTTATTTCTTATAATACCCAATATAGTATAAATGCATGCAAATTGACTAGCTGAATATGAATATGTGTAAATCAACTCCAGCCACATTTTCTGGGATATCTTTATTTGACCTAAATTGGGGTTCTCTGGTGCAAAAATGCCTTTCCCCATGGGTATTATCGAAACAATTAGGGACTTTTTTTTTTTAATAAAGAGGATACTTGAAGTGGTAGATTACAGCTGTGATTCATAAATGGTTAACCAAAAATTAAAAAGTAAACGTTGGAAAATAACATGTCCAGAGACATCTTTTAAAAACTCTGACATACAGTGGGTGTGGTGGCCCACACTTTTAATCCCCACAATCAGGAAGCAGGAAAGGCAGATCTCTGTGAGTTCAATGCCAGCCTGGTCTATATAATGAGTTCCAGGTCAGCCAAGAATACGTAGTGAGACCCTGTCTGAAGAAAAACAACAACAACACAAATACACAACAACAAAAAAAACCTCTGACATATTCTTGGAAAACTTGAAGGCCACATGTATCTCTGGGGCAGTGTACATGTCCAGAAAAGGCCTGTGAGGGTCTAAGCTCGCACTGATGACTGACCTGAAAGCTTGTACAAGAAGGAAATGAGAGCTAAAGCAGAAGCGTCAACTTGGTCTGTTTTAAGGCGTGACCCAGCACACATGCGGACTCTCTTAGAAAAGATGGGGATTTAATGGTTCTAGGCTTGCAGGGAAGTCTCTGTCTAATCATTAGCTGACCAGTGAGCTAAGCGAGTAGACTTCAGTGGCCACACAAAGAAAACAAATTTTACAGGTTCAGTCCAGAAAAACAATAAAGCACCAACAGGAAGAACAAATCCAGGGATGAATGAATACTCATTTCCAATGAGTATTTTAGTGTCTGGTTATCAATAAAAACTACAAATCATGCAACAGATAGGAAAACATGGCCTCCTGAAGGAAGAAAAAGCAATCAATGGAAGAATCTTTGAGGAAGCCCAGTTACTAGACTTACAAGACAAAACTTCACATAGACTATTCAAAATGTGTCCAAAGAACAAAAGGAAACCTTAGAAACCCTTTAAAACGAGGAAACTGCCTAGGTAAGTAGAAACTATAAATAGCCAAACGACTGAAATGTATTAGGTGAAATGGGAAAGAATCATTAGAAAGACTCAGGATCTGGTGGGAGAAGTAAATAACGAACGATACAAAGCAACTAGACCTCGCACAAATCTGCACAACACTCCACTCAGCAACAGCTGGCCACATATTAGTCCCTAAGAATAAAAAAAGATGAACTTAAAGGCTAAACACAGACTTCACAGCTGTGCTCACTTCTTGAGAAACAGAGAAAGGCAGCCATCAGGGTCAAGTGCAGATGTAATATTCAGAATAAAGACACACGCCTAGATGAGTGTAGTACTCCGACCTTATCTGAGGAGGTTCTTTATGCAGCAGACAGCGGTTAACACAGAAACTGACTTGTCAAAATGCAGAGAGTAAGTGTCTGGAGAGAGTGCTCAGCAATAAAGGATACATCGATATCATGCCCCCTTCCCTCAAAGCTCAGGGACCAGCCTAGAAGGGGCAGAAAGATGTAAGGTCAGAGTTTGGAAGCAGATGAGCAAAACTTTGTCTCTTGGATACAACAGGACCATTGCATACACAGGCTCAGAGCAGCTGTGATTGCCTTCACAAGACCTGTACAAGATCAAGCCAGTCAGTATTCCAACAGAGTGAAGAGGCACTCATGAGCCCCACCCATAACTGAGGAGCTACCCACAATTGATGGCTGCTAGAAGAAAGAATACATTTTCTTTAAGGGTGTTGTCCCTGGTAGGTTCCTATTATGCTTCGGTGGGTAACCCTGCACCCCTGAGTATATGGGCAGCACACACTACACTCAGTGGGATATGAATAAAAATAAAAAGAAGACATGAAGTTGGGAGGGAGAATGGATATGAGAGGTGTTAGGGGAAGGAGCAGAAGGTGAATATGACCAAAATTCACTGTATGCATGTTTAAAATTATCAAAGAATTAATACAAATATTTTTTAAAGAAAGTATTTAGAATGCAAATAAAAATAAAATTAAGTAAATGCAAAAAAAATATAATCGTGATCCATTACCAGGTTTTTGTTTGTATGCCCTTAAAAACCTCTTTCAAATGGATAACACACAGGAAGGCAATGTGAACGATTAAAATGTACCATGTGTAGCTTTTGGTGTGTGTGCGGCGCCCTCTCCACTTCTGACACTGCCTAGCCATTTCCATTCTCTGCCACACCTGGCAGCGTAAGGCCAGCCAAGCCCTGGGCAGCTTCTCCATCTGCAGGCCGCACAGTAGGACTGGAACAGGACTTGCAACAAGGACTTTCTTTGCTCCCTATTCAGAGGTCTAATACAGATTTAACACATAAACAATAAAAACTGTCAACAGTATCCCTTGTTGGCTGTAGAAGAAAGTAAACACAGTACTGTTGATGAAACAAGACCTTAAGGTAAGTTAAAAAAAAGTCTTAGCCGTAAGTGTAATTAAGTACTGCTAAGTATGACAGTATCAGTGAATTCTAACTCAGTAACCTATAGTAACTTATACTCCCCAAAATGTCTAATGCAATTAAAGTCAAAAAAAATCTTAAGACTGAAGCACTAACATTACTGTTTATCAGTGACAGTACTATCACTATATAGCAAGGACTCGTAAAGAATGTCCACCAAAGCCGGGCATGGTGGCACACACCTTTAATCCCTGCACTCAGGAGGCAGAGGCAAATGGATCTCTGTGAGTTCCAGGGCAGCCTGGTCTACACATTGAGTTCTAGGACAGCCAGAGCTACATAGTGAGACCTTGGCTCAAAAAACAAAAAACAAACAAGAATATCCACCAAAATGTAAGCTTCGTTAAGGAAAGAAGTTTTCATCTGTTTTGCTCACTAACAAAGCCCCATGTAGCTAGAAGAGTACTTGAGACACAGTGCACAGTAGATAGGTAGTTGTGAAACAGTCTCTTGGAGAAGTTTGTAATCCAGTTCATATACAAAAGTGCCACACAGAAAATAGCTACAGACTGAGTAAATATAAACAGTAAGTGCTTATACATGTACAGTTAAAAGAGAGGCTGCGGTGATGTGAAAATGGGGGCCTACCAAGAAGCACTGATGTCAGCTGCTGTCCCTGTGAAACACGAGAGAGTAACTAACTATCTCAGGACTTGGTGACTTAACAGGAGCGTTTCACTAAGGTCACAGTGTCCCCAGGTCAGAGGACAGAGGGGATGACCTTGCTCTAGAATGTCAGACCTCAGCTGGGATGACTGGGAACAAGACTCAGGAGCCAGAGGTTAGCATCATCTTGAGTCTTTCACTCAAGCACCTGGCACCTGAGATGGACGAGCTCTTCGAATGCCTCGGCATCTTCATGGCATGGCTCCACAGCCTTGGTTGCTTGCTTGTGGGGACCAGGTCTCACTCTGTAGTCCAGGCTGGCTCAAATTCAAAATCTTCCTTCTTGACCCACTGAGTGCTGGCATTAAACACTTGCACCAGCACACCCTGCTGGTAACTGGACTTCTAAGGGCAGCATATGGCTCTCTGCGGGCATGCCTGGAGTGAGGCAGAAGCTCCCTGCCTCTTCTGTCCTATCCTCGGGCGCCTTACATTATCTCCACTGCGCTCTTTGATTCTTACTATCAGCAATCACAAGATTGGTCATAGTTCCTCCGCTTCTCAACGAGAGAACTGCCAAGAAATTAGTCATTTAAAAAGTTGCCATCTTTACCAATTAGCGAGAATGAGGAGGGTTTATATGAGCGAGAATTGTTGAGACCAAGGTTGGATAAAGCACAGGGACAAATAGCCAAATGAATGGAAACACATGAACTATGAACCAATCGCTGAGGGGTCCCCACTGGATCAGGTCCTCTGAATGGATGAGACAGTTGATTGGCTTGATCTGTTTGGGAGGCATCCAGGCAGTGGGACCAGGTCCTGTGCTCATTGCATGAGTTGGCTGTTTGAAACCTGGGGCCTATGCAGGATTGCTTGGCTCGGCCTGGGAGAAGGGGACTGGACCTACCTGGACTGAGTCTACCAGGTTGATCTCAGTCTGTGGGGAAGGCTTTGCCCTGGAGGAGATGGGAATGGGGGGGGGGGGGGGGCTGGGGGGAAGGTGAGGGGGACGGGAGGGAGGAGAACAAGGGAATCTGTGGCTGATATGTAGAACTGAATTGTATTGCAAAATTAAAAAAAAAAAAAAAAGTTGCCATCTTTAATCCCAGCACTCGGGAGGCATA